TATGGTGCACTACTGGTAATAATCATTGACAGTGACATACAGTTTTTTTATTAGAAAGTTAAAAAGTTTTACAAGTAATAAGAAGTTCATTTGGAGTTCATCTCAGTTAATTATCTAAGATCATAGGAATAGGTAGAAGCTACTAACAAGTTGATTTTGAATTTGTCGAATAATATTTAGGGCTTTCAAGATCATGGTTTAAAAATTCATTTGAGGCGCATGCCTCAAATTGAGGCACACAATGAGCACCTCGAGGCTTAAGCCTCACTAGTACCAGTAAGGTATATATATATATATATATATAATTCTATTGTACAAAGAGAAGGAATCAATTAGCTTATAAGACGAATGAACAATGTTAAATGATTGTGCTATGTTTAATAAAAATTTGAAAGATGAGCACTTCAAATTATAGAGGTGAATAATTGGTGATAATGAAATAATTTTGTTAATTACTAATGATATATTATTTAATATTGAATGGATAATAGTAAAAAAAGTGAAAGATTTAAAATTGAAGAAAGGGAAATGCATTTGATGATGAGGAGAATGAATAGAGAAATAAGGAAAGTTTGCTATCATCAAAATTATAAACCATAGATCCGCAGCAGAAACATTATTGGGTTAGCCACTAATAGTATATATATATATATATATATTATAAATTATTTATAAATTCATGTGTTTCTTATTTCTTTTTGTCTTAAGGCTTATGACTCCATTTGTGTCGAGGCTTACGCCCCAACCCGTTAAGGCAAAATGCCTCGATTCCTAATTTCACTTTTTTAAACCTTGCTCAAGATAGTTGGTTAGAAGAGTTGCCACTTGTCCACTATCTAGTGGCATTGCGAACTACATCGTCAAAGATAACTGGTCATACACCATTCTTCTTGTCTTGTGGATATGAAGCATTAAGACCAATAGAATACAATGTTTATAAGGCTCATGTAGTTAGAAAATTATTGAATTGAAAAGACTAAGACAAAGGTTTGTGCGCAAATCTTCATCTTCCCGAGTTGTAGATGGTCTCATACTTTCAGCAAACAGATTCAATTGAAGAGAAACAAAGTATTACAACTTGCGTACCAAGATCCAATAATCTTGACCAAGAGAGCTTGCCTTCATAAAGGTTAGCCGCTAGACCAACTACTTTCGAAAAGCTCGGGCTGATTGGGAAGGACCCTTTGTAATGAAAGAATAAGCTAGGTAAGGTGCATACAAACTCCAAAGGTTTATCAAAGAAAAGATACCTATGACATGGAGTTGTAGTGACTTCGATAAATTTTACTCTTAAGAAGGTAGATTGCATAGAAAAATATAAAATTATATTTTATATAAATTATATATAACAAAGAAGCTGATTTCTAAGCATAGTTTTTTTTTTGGTGCTTGTAAAGAACTTAAGTACCTAAATCAAGGGAATATTGGAGATCAATGTTGTTAGAGTATGACTCATCACAACAAGCTCTCGATATTTGGACAATTCAAGCAAGCAGGCTCTTAGGAGAATTGAGTTTTGTCTTGCTATTTCCCTAGAATCTTGTGGTTACTGAGAGAGGGTTCACCTAAGACTTCTGCTTGGTTCATTGAGAGAATATAGAAATCCAAATTTCTTCTTTTGATTTTGATTTTTTGAACCCATTATTAATCTCTTGATTCTGTGGTTCCAGTAAGCCTGAGTAAAGATTGGCTAATTTCCATTTGACAAATTTGGTTTCAATTGTTAGTTGTCAAAGAAAACGTCAAGTTAATAGATCTAAATTTCGGTTTCAAAACAAATAAACCTTCTTGTATCCTCTCATCATTGAATATAGAAAAAAAAATATAAATATTTGGTGCTCTTTTGTTGATGTATTAGGTTTTCACTATGTTGAATGATTTTAGATTTCATTCTAACCTATTTATATTGATGATAACATCAGTTTGGTCATATTAACAAGCATCATTATTATGAGGCTTTAATGTTTCACTTGATTAATATGCCCTTTATAGTGTCAAAACTTTGTTGTTATGAGACTTATAATGCTTAACTTTATTAATATGACCTTTATAGACATTGTGTTAGCATTATCAATCTATTAATATTTTTTTACTAGATGAAATGAAAAATGAAAAAAAAAACCAAAATAATCAACATCACCAAAAGAAGAGAAAAATCTCATGGGGCTACATTAAAAACATCATACTTGGAGCCTGTGATGGTATACTTTCTTGGTGTTTCTTCTCATCCGAGCATATAATATTTGAAACTTGTCCATGATCTCTTGTGTGTTAGAACAACTAATATCAGAGGCAACAAAAATATAGTCAGGAGCATCTATTTCATCAATATGAAGAAGACGATCAGAAGCAAGAACTCGGAATGGATATGATCACTGCTCATGTAAGTGAGGAACTGAACTAGCAACTCGGGAAGACATTGCCACCAAGGCGTGGCCCAAAGTTGATTATAAGTTTTGAGTACCAACTGGATCAGAAGTGAACAAAACTATCATCATTGTATTAGAAGATAGAAGTTTATCAGATTAAAGATTCCCATGCCTTGATTCGTAGGTTTCCATAGCTTTGTGTGTGCCTTGAAACATTTTGACAAGTTATGGCCAAATGTTTTGTAAGATGAACAATAAGGGGATTGCTTTCAAACTCAACTTTCTGCTAGTAGCTGTTAAATGTGAAGCCAAACCAAATCTTTTTCTCAAGTGAGGAAGAAACATTTAGTTTGACCAAAACCCTAGCTACTATCGACCTATGAAATCTAGCACCGGTAGCATTCATCTGAAGTGGGTTTTCCCTAAAATGAACCAATAGCACAAAATGTGTTGATTGAAATAGTGAGGTCATATATGTGAAAAATAACCCAAACTGGGGTGACAAGATGCTCCTCAAAATAATAAAAATGAGGTATCCATTTAAGCATGTGCATTGCGAACCTAGACACCAAAAGTAATTTGCCAAAAATTGAATTAATAGAGGCAGTAGTGGCTTCCACTTGAAGTGATTTGCCAAAAAATGCACCAAGAGAGTACACAATGGATTGATTGAAATAGTGATTCCATAAATGTGAAAAATAATCAAAACTTTACTGAGAAAGATTCCAGAAAACTATTAAAATATAGTGGCTATCTAAGCATATTCATTGGGAACCCATCTACATTGGTTGTTCTTTGAGAGGAAAGTCTTTAGTAATAAGATTCTTTGGATAATTTGATTAGAATATAATGAAAATCAACATACTACAACTCCCAATCATTCACAGGACAACCATGCATTTGCAAACCAATCTTCAAAATATGATGGCCTTAGAAGAACTTGCCAAGCGAAGATAGGGAAAAGGACTTAACTATTAGTTAGAGAAAATGAAGGCAAGTTTGCTTTAAAATGAGGGTGATAGCTTGTGAAGAGTGTACACAAGCCCTTGTTGAAAATGAGCAAGGAATCGAGAGGAATTTGGTAGAGTTCCTTAACCTGTATGTCCTATAATAGCCTCATCATGGTCAGGGAGCGCAAGGCAATGGAGATCTCACAATGGGAGAAGCTCTAATAGTGGTAACAATCATAGGAAAAGCATTACAACTCTGAGGAACATGAGCAGTCAGTGCTGTAGATGTAATGGATGTTGAGGAAACATTCAAGGCTAGAGGGAGTGAAGATACTTGACGTCGGGCATAATTAATAAAGCAAAAATTGATCAGAGATAAAGCATGCCAAAACAACATGCAAATTGGGCTCCACCAAATGCAGCGGGAATGTAGATAGCATATGCGTCAAAACCAAATGGACAATGCCCGTAGCGGAGGTCTAAGTATCGTGTGGAAGCATGTTAATACAGTAGGGGGACACATGCAAAGCTGGTGTAGTGGAGCATAATTAGTGTAATGTGTGTAGTGGGCATGTGTGGTGAGTATGAACTTGAACTCACCTTATCATGATTGAGCATAGAGACTATATTAGAGATTATATAATGTACTAAGCCATGAAATCATTTTTTTTATTTGAGGCGATTCATACCACCAATGAATAGCCATGAACCCATGTGATGAGTTGTATGATGATATGGATATTGATAATTATATTTCTTGTTTGATGTAGTACATATAAATAAAGGTAATGCATATGATTGTCAATTAACTTAATAATACTGTTGGTTTTTACTCATAATAATATTATGCTCATGTAACTCTAAACACGATTAATGGAGAAGTAGGATTAGGAAAAACAACCCCAAGTAGTTGGGATAATAACGATTATGATGATGATTACATATTATGTTGAATTTCAAAATTCCAAACTAATATTGATCTTTATTGTGTGTAGTGCTTTATATCAAAACTTAATTTTGTGTTAATCACTGGGCTATTAATAACCTCTTGATACTTGGATCCTTGCGCTGAGTATTTGCTATGTGAACTGCATAATGCTGTTACTCATGTGAAAGAACAGTCCCTTCTCTTTTTAGTTAACCAAATTTTATTATTATTATACTAACTTGCTTTATTTTTGTGTCAGTGCAAATGCTAATTTTTTTAATTTATTTCTATCCATTTCCTTCGGATATTAAATTTTAGATGAAATATGCCACACGATTCTACTTATATTGACTTCCATTTTTTTTCTTTTTCAAATTGCCTTGTTGTTTATCTTTTTGTTTTTCTGGGGATTTGCATGATTTACTGCACTTTTGATTTTTTTGGCATGTTTTAAAATTCAGGATGTGCCATGTGAAATACCCTGTATTATCAAAGTATGTCACATCTTGGTTAAAAATTAGTACCAAACAACTTGGCTAAAAAATTGGATCTTGATCCACGATATTTTTAGCCAATTTTTTTTTTCCTAAAATACCTTATTCTCACAGTAAATTGTAAATACCTGAAGTTTCATCATTGTATTTCTCTTAGGTTTTTTCTCAAGTCTAGGAACACTTGCATTTGAGGTTGGCTTGCAAGTCTTTACTTTATTGTTGGATATTTTTTATTGATTTTTTTATTATGCTATTTAAGCTAGAGGAGAGCTAAAAGATGATGAAGTTTCCAAAGCACAACTTGGTGCATTCTTTGCTGCTATGACAATACGAGCAAATACATTTCCACAAACTACCCAGTGGAGTGAAGGAGAAAGGCATGCTATGAATTTATTTTGGCCGCATCTTGTTCAAGCTCTTCCTCCAGATGTCATCTTTATAGCTGACCCTGAAGGTACAATTATGGGTATAGGGAACTTCCCGCGGTACACTGGGCAAGGTATGACAGAAATGAGATTGGTTGGTGCCCTCAGGGAAGTACTGGCCGGTGGTCATCTAGGTTATGAAGAGGTGAAGGGTGTTCTAAAAGATGTTCTACCATTAGGTGGTAACGAGTTACAGGAGGTCAATGAGTCACTACTAGCCGCATTTCTAATTGGACAACGCATGAATCGTGAAACAGCTCGGGAGCTGAAAGCATATTGTCTTGCATTTGATGATGAACTAGGTGATCTTTGCTGCTTTTATTTTCTTATATAGTTAAATTAAAACTATTGTATTCACTGATCTTACTATGAATATTTTTGCTTTGCATCAGGGCCACCTCCTATTGCTGATGTTAGATCTTTGACTCACTATGGTGAGCCCTATGATGGAAACTCTCGTTTCTTTAAGAGCACCTTATTTGTTGCTGCAGTAAGAGCTTGCTATGGAGAATCTTGCATACTTCATGGAGTGGAATGGATGCCTCCAAAGGTCTGTTGAATTTGACTTTAAGTGGCCATGCATTTCAATTAATACAGTTAAAAGTTCTAGGCGTCCTTTTGTTTATATAGCTGCTGAATATCCAAGGCACTAGGCACTACACTTGGCTCGTCTTAATCAAGTGGACATTAAAAAAAATTTCATGTACCTTACTAATGTTATTTTAATTATTCTGTATACTACTAAAGAATTAAACTGATAATAATTGGAAGAACTTGTTGATCTCATAATGAATTTAAGTTACTATTGTTTCTCAAAATTGAGAATCCAACTAATTATATTATCCTAAACATTGTAATTAAACTACTTTATTTTGTAGTACATATAACCGAGGGATTATAATATATTCACTATTATATATCCCATCTCATCATTATCCACTTTTTTTTTGATTTGGGAGGTGGCATTGAAAAACTCTTCTGTTCACCACATTGGATAGGACGCACAAGTCATCAAAAGTCCAAATGTATAGAGAGAGTCAATTAGACGCCTAATGGTTATGATTGGGAGAAAATAAATGTAGGCTATTGGATGGTGATAAGGACATTTGAATATGAATCACTTTTGAATTTTAAACTTGTTTTGGATTATTTTGTTTTTTGAATTTACATTTGAATTTCCTTCTTCTGTGAAGTTATTTTAGGACGGTAGGGTTGTTCAAAGAAGTTAGGGTTAATGTTATTCCTTATTTGATGGAGTTAATTTATAAGAAAATGACAAGTTTAAATTAATTTTGTTATAAATAGTCTATTTTTTACTATAGAAAGTAATTCCAATTCCCAAGATTTCCTCCCTCTTTATCCTTGTGCAGGCACTGTAGCAACAATGACCGCTGAATTATTATAGCAAATCTTGATAACTGTAGCATCCACAGGTGCTAAAAAAAGTGCAAGTATTATAGCAAATTATTTTTACTACTTCCAATAATAAGACAACAATTACATATAATTTACCTAAATCAAGAAAACTCAACCAATTCTCTTGCTGTGGACTCTCATTATCACATTAAATGGATTGCGTTGGATCACTAATGTGCTAGAAAGGTTCCTACTATTTCCATAGGTCTTTCACACATTCAATTTTAGATAATAATTTTGTCATAGAGTGCTGGCTCCAATTCATAGGGAAAGAAAATTGCCTTTGAAAGGATAATTTAGTGATTCCATGAGTCTTAGGACTATGATATAATATCCAAAATTGTGTCAAAAAGTAAGCATACGATTTGCCGCAAAATTTTACTATTTTCTATTCACTTGATCCTGATAGAAGTATTTTAGAATGAGTATTAGTAAGAGATGTCTGTTCAGATTTTTCTCTCTATTATACTCTTGGTAGACTATAAGGGATCAAAATAGGGTTTGACATTATTTGTAAAAGGGATTATAAATAATTGCCATAGCAAAAAAATACGATACCTTTCACTAGGAGATGTGAGCTTGTTTTGAATGTGAGAGTAGAAAAAAAAGACATACCTTTTCCTAGGAGAGTCGAGCTTGTTTCGAACGTGAGAGGGAGGTTGGGACCGAGGGCTGTGGGGCTGGGCTGGTGCGAATGGAATACGAAGGAAAAAAGTAGCAAAGTAGAAAAAAAAGACGATACCTTTTACTGGGAGAGGCGAGCTTGTTTCGACTGTGAGAGGAAGGTTGGGAACAAGGGCTGTAGGGTTGCGGTAGATGAAAGAAGGTTGGAACCGAGTGCTGGTACGAATGGAATAGGCAACAATTGAAGGAAGGGAATATTAATAAATGAGTGCGGGAGACGAAGGGTCATGTTAGATGGAGGGTTACGATAAAGCCACATGTATCTCCTCACGCGAATCCAAGAAATAAATGGGAAGGAAGCAGAAGAGACATGAAATCTAACGGTGTAGACTAATTTGAGGTAAAACAAACGGTGGCAATTTCTATGGGAAGAATCCAAGCAGCTTAATAATCATCAACTTTGTTCTTCTCAATTGATTCATTATATGCCTTAAGTAAATTTATATGCTATGACATGATATAGTTGCAATGAAATAAAAAGAAATTATAATTGCTAAAAAATAATTATAATTATCCACTTTAATTACTTTTCGTGCTTCAAATTCTTCTAAATTCTTGAGTTTTGATATAACCTTCCTTAATGCAACACTAGGGCCACGTACTAAATTTCATAAATTTGCACTATTATCTTACAACTAATTTTCATTAATTTCACATAAATTTTTTTATTAACATATATGTAATCTTATCTGAACTCCTTTTGTAACCTCTTATTAGCTTCATCACTTCACATTAGTTCAACAGTTCAAACCCTTCACTGTTCCAAATAATATTTAATTGCATTAATTACTGCTAAATAGCTTTACAAATTTAAATGTCGTCAAAATAACATTGATTTGATTTAACATCTTTAAGGACAACTTCAAATTCGTGGGATATCATCTATATTGTGCAATATTGAATGCTTCTTATTTTTCAAATCAATATTTATAATTCTACATATAATGCCAAATTCTAATATAATGACATATAATGCCAAATTCTAATAATTAAAACTTAATATTCTTAAATTAATTACCTCAAGGAATCTTTCCTTCATTCACCTCAATAAATATTTCCTTCCTTCATTGCCAAATCGAGGCTTACAACAACTGAATTCTTCCAATCGACAATCATATTTTACTTCTTCAATTATAGGAATAAAATTATGCAAATTTTTCTTATATAATAGAAAAAAAAATTAAATCACTTACACTTCCTTTTTCGTTAGAATAGAACTTCCAAACCCAAATTCCTTCTCTTTCTATCCAAATTTTCTATCTATTTGGATAAAAATCACGGGATAATTTGCACAAAAAATGAACAAAATTAACAAACAAGTCTTCCTCCTTTCTCCTCTCAATCAAACTTCTTGATTCTTTTGTTCATTTTGGCTTAACTGGACGAAGCAAAACAAAGTTATCTCGCGTGAGTAGTCGTTGCTTTTTGTTCCTGCATGTGTTTCCTCACTCAAATGCGCGATTCGGTTCTGCCAGGCACTCCCGCACCTGCATGCGGCCTGTTGGGTTTTGAGGAGTAAGACCAAACTCCACATGCTTCCTTTTTTCTCATCTTATGAGTTTGACTTAAGGAAAAGGGCTTCTTGGGCGCTATGCAAAGAGGAAGAAAAAATGCAGAGCTTGGGGAAGACAAATATTTTTGTATTTTAATATTTTTAAGGGCATAATAGAGCTTTTAAATTTGAACTACTTTAGAATATAAAGACATCTTAATAGAATAAAAAATAGATGTGGGCCCTAATTTGGCTCACAATGGAAGCCATATTTTTTCACATGGCCTGTCATATTGTTTTTTTAAAAAGCTAAATCGTCTTTAATATTTGAATTATTATCCTTCAAGGAAAGGAACTTAGACAATCTTGCTTCTTGAGGCACTTTAAGGGAAAGTAATTCACCTGGGTAACTTTGCTTCTTAATGCAAGATCTTTGTCTAGCCAATGGCTTCATAGTGACATGTTAATGCAAGATGTTTGCCTTGGTGATGGTTTAGTATTGACGGCTACCTGTGATGGGAGCGGGCAGCACCATGGCTTTTCGCCTCACTCATATCGATTATATTTTATTCCAACTTGAGAGTTATATTGCTAAGTATATTGTTCCATTGAAACACTATGCTTTATAGAAATGTACGATTTGATTTTCCCTTTTGCTTCAATCAATTTAATATTGTCTCTGAATATTTTCTTATTAAGGTCTACAGGGCGGTGTAACAGAAGGACAACTGCTTAAATTCATTGGTGCAAATACCCATTTGTCCCCAATGCAGGCGAAGACATTGTTAGAGGTGCATCATGCTGATCATATTTTAAATTGTCATCAGCTCCTTTCTGTATTTCAGTTAATCTTTTTATTTTCTCTGTTTTTGACTCTTCTAAGGACGTACTTTGTCTAGGATGAAGATGTTGGTTTTGCTTATGTGAGCCAAAGGGAAGCACATCAACAATTGTAAGGATTGCTAATGAACCGATTTTGTGTTATCCATGTACATTTTGTGAAGCTTCATACCATTTTATGCATTATAGGGCTGATATATTCATGCAATGCGATGCAAAATAAATGAATTATGAACAAGCGTGCTTGTTTTTTGGCAAAGTCATGAAATAATTAGAAACTATAGAGCTGGCACCATAAAAATGGCCAACACAGAGAAACAGAGTATAAAAGTATCAGGAGAGGCCATAGTTGAACTATGTTGTGCCAAAGGAAGGTTAATAAGAAATGCTTCTTTTCTTTTAAACTTAAATCTTTGAAAATGTTGGAAAGGACTGCGTTTCCATGTCAAGCAAACCATATTATGAAGTTAATCGCTTGGTAAGGCAGGCAATCTTTATTCTGTTTCTAACATGCCATATTATGCTTTTTTTTTTTATTTCTTAAAATTGTCATATTATTGTTTGGTCACATAAAGTGGCAGTCTTATGATGACCCGGTTAGGAAAATAGATGCATTAGTTTTAACTTATTTTAAAAAAGGTAGAGGTAAACCTAAAAAGACTTGGTTAGAAAATATTAGAAATGACTTTCTTTATTAGATTTAAATGAGAATTTAACTTTTAATAGGGCACGATGGAGAAAATGGATTCATATATCCGACCCCACATAGTGAGATAAAGACTTGATGTTGTTGTTATTGTTAAGGAATGCAACTTAAGAGAATTTTCTTCAAACAGATAAACAAGATATTTAGCATCATTAAAGTGGATTTGAAATTGTTTATTTTCAACATAGCCTAGCCTTGTGTGCATTTAATCTTCTTTCTTCCATTGTATGTTGCTTTAATTATAAAGTCAAGTAATTTCTGACTGATGATTGCTTTTACTAAATCAATTACTCTCCAGACATTCGCTCATTGGGCTCAGAGAGCACATAAAGAAACGTCCACCCCTGGCAACTTCTGAGAAAGTCCAGCAATTCGTGAGGGTAACTTTATATATTTTGGATGCTAATTCATTTTATCCAAGAGCTGTCACACATTTATGCCTAAGTTTCATTTAATGATTTAACGTGATCTTCATACTCTGTTGCACGAGGCAATTTCACCCGTTTTCTTCAATGTTGACTTTGCCTTGCATTTAGCACAAGGGCAGCTTATGTTGAACACTTCTTTCAATTTGGTGCCCTGGCCTATTCATTCTTATTGATGCAGGATCATAATAAATTGTCAGTCATTCTTAACTTTTTGATATATGATAAGAACAGCTTAGTTATGATTTCATTTTTTATGTTTTTATATTACTTGTTAGAATATGTTAGTCTTTCCCGTATTAATTATGTGTAGTTATGTTTTCTTGATTCCATATTCTTTATGTATTGGATCACGCTGATTACTGAAATAGAAAACCCTAAATATTTCTGCTCTCTCCTCTCTCTCTCTCTCTCACAATCACACACACATTCCTGATTATCTCCTTATATCTACATCTCAATCCCCTCAATTTCATGTTAGATCAAAGATTTGTCTCTGCAAAACTCCATTTATTGGGGTCAAGAAAATCAATCCATTTGGAAGGTGACACAAAATTCATGAAGTTAATGTCTTCTTGATTTTGATTTTCTCTCCCTCTCATTTTTTTGTTTCCTCTCTCCATCCCTTTTGTGTAATTGATTATATGCTACGTTAATGCATTAAGCCACCACACAACATACAAAAATGTCATGCAAGCATGTTAAGTAGTGCACAAATGCATACGTTAATACACATGATACAGGCAAACATACAAATACATATTCTAGTATGTCAACATGCAAATGATTACATGAATGTGTATGTGAGCATGTAGATATGTCGTATACACCCACTACATTACATAAATATAACCACCATACAAACTTATCTTACAAAATGCACAGAAAAATACATGCGATTAAATACCTGCATGGGCCCAGATGAGCATGATGTATGTAAACACATGATATTTGAGGATGCTGCAAAGGTCAAAAAAATGAATTCAAGTTCAAGTCCGATCATTCTTTTTTAATAGATCAAAGTTGACACATCTAGGACCACCAAATAAATGCACGGTGTAGTGTCGACTGGATTATTTGGTTTTATATGTTCATATTAGGCCTTCAAGGTCTCTTACAAAGAAAATTCACATATTAAAATGAATATCTGGGGTTTTGATATCTACATGATAACTCTAGAAATTAAGAGCTGGACCTAATCTTCTGTTTGCAAGCAAATAGAATTGACAAGATCCAATTAATGAAATAAGAATACCGTTAAATAATCTTCAATGATGGCCATGTTGAATGCAAATCTCAATCGAAGGGGTTAATTCTCAAAGACATATCAACGATCTAAAGCTCCACATCTATTAATAATGTTAATATTTAAAATTAAAATTTAATCATCTAGTAACTTAAAGCAAAATCCATCCATCAGGGTGGATAAATTTGAAAATCACTTCAGCTCACAAAGAATGATTATTTAGTTAAGAACATCACTAAGATTCATTCTCAAACCATCTCTTGCTAGTAAAGATGTGGCATGTAACCTCTAACCGGTGATTTTGCCGTCAAATGACACCATAGGTAAACGACTATGACCGACGCCCTCTGACCGGGTGGTGCTTATCTAAAAACCCAATATGCCTTCTAAAAATTTACCGTGGAACCTAAACTCGCTAAAACTCTCTTAGTTGACAAACACAAAAAGAAAAGAGAACGCGGAGAGGCCAGGGCACGAATTTTTGAAGCCCACAAGTATGTTTGCGTTATGATAATGACTTGAATTTAGTCATCTGGACATGTGGATTCATTCTCGTCAACTCTTTACACAATCCTTTTTTTTTATGTCTATTTTATCATCTTGAATCTTCATGGTCACTCTATTTGTGTCTTATTTCTTTTGCTTCAGGAGGTTTGACTCTTATTTAGAGTTTCTTTTCGCTCTGTGACAATATAAAACTCTAAATGGTTTCACTTTAAATTTTATTTTTAAACCAAAAAAGGGTAGGTGCTGAGTTAATTATGGGTTGGCCATAAGGCCATTTTTGTCACGGGATTGGTATAAAGTCTTTCATATCCATGCCATCTAATCAGATGAGAAAATGCTCATTATAACCAATCTTTAACATTTTGTCACCTATTTGATAATTTGAAATTTTCAAAGAAACGAAGTTAATGCAAAAGGATTTGATTTGTTCCCTCATATATTTAAACATGTTAGAAGAATCTTATATGCTTAATTTTTAATTTGTGTCCTTTCATAATGGTTTGATCATCTTTCATTGCTTGTGTTATGACTTCTTCCCAGTTTATTACTGAGGTGAGTTAAATGAATAATTTTCTCTTTCCGGATAATTTGTATAGCTGCAATCATGCAGGCTAGCTTTTTACAAACATGCTGGCTATCTAAAGGAGCACGATTTCTGGTATATAATTTGTTTTAGAAGTTTTATCAAATCTCTTTCTACTTGTTTAGACCCTTGGGAAAGAAGCCATTGTTGCTGGATTTTATCATGATGGCTATGAAGATTCATTGTTAATGCTAATGAGAAGGAGAGAAGTTCACGCAGGTTTAGTTGTCAAGGTTAGTGTTTGATTTTTTTATAGTAAGTTAGTGGATGAATGAATATACATGAAAATCGGTATAATGACTGTATATAACCATTAAAAAAATGCAATTTTATTTCGGTACAACCCTCATATCTCTTAGAAACCAAAATGACTGCATTTTCTTCTTCTTTTTCAATTGCCTTTTTTTTTTTTTTTAAATTCATCTTATCTAAAGTTTTACTAGGAGTGACATATGCTTTATCTCGGCAATCTGAAGCCTAATATGAAATCTTTGTTTTGACCAACTACAACACTTCATCTCAACTTATTTTTTGACATATCTTTATGTTGATTTCTTCATATTTCTAAGACGATGCAAAATCCCTATACGATACTATTTATAGCAATTGAATTCTCACATCATAGGCCATATAGCTTTTGACATTGCAATTTCTGTAATTGGCCTAAGTTTCTGGTTGTTTCTAGAATCTCCCTTTATAATTAATAGTTAATAGAAATGGAAGATCCTCCCAATACTGGTGCGTATCCTTTTTTGCACTTTTAGATTCGGCAGTAATGTTCAGATCATGCATATTGTACCTCTGCTACTTTCCAGGGGGAAGAAGGTTCGCTATCATTGACAACCAAACCAAGATCAGTTAATGCATCAAAAGGTGTTCCAGTGAACCACTGTGCTGGGTTCCGCTTGCTTGGTAGATCAAATGACTATTCGACTGATGGTATCTTTCATCATCCTATATCAGTAAACTGATTTTATTTTCTTCCGAGATATATTCAGTTCTTTTTTAATGTTCTTAGTAAATGGTCTAATTCTGCTTCAAGTGTAACTTGGAATATTTTGAATCTTTTGTAATAATTGATAAATTGATAATGAAGTTTTTATTTGTTACAGGATTTTCTCGCATAAATTTCAGTATAGATGTCAATGCTCAAGATTATGGTTTTGAACATACAGACACCCCAAGAACGGATAGATCTGTAAGTTCTTTGATTTTGTTCAGTTCTGTCTTACCCATCCATCTATGTGGTCATAGAATGTAGAAAAATTACTATGATAATTGTATAAAGTCATTAAGCCCTAATAGTAAAACGCATATATACCATTTGCCAGGAACAAATTTTGTCAGGAGGTCCTTACATGCGTCATTTAAAAGCTTCAACCATGTATTTGATTAATTCATGTTTGATATAGAATTTACATGAAAAAATGAAGATATTCATAACCATTTTGCATTCAAAATATTAAAATTCAAGAATATTGTGTCCATAAAATTCTGATTTTGGCATATAAAAATAAAATAAAATTTGAAGATATATGTATTAAATGTGGATATTCATGATGATGTTATAAAAACTAGGAACATAATTAAATTATGGGAACTTACTTATATATCATAAAATTATATGTATTATTATATATATAACATCTCAACCTTTATATTTACTTATATATTATTATCTAAATTACATTAAAATAAATGTATAAAAATATATAATTGATTTTAAATAAGTTAATATTAGTAATATTTCTATGTGATTTAGATATTTAAGTTATATATAAGTGAATATAAAAAATTAGGTATTAGATATATAAATATATAAGAATTTTATGATAATAATGTAAATACAAAAACGTGATTATTACCATGTGCCATGATGGAGAACAATAGGAAACAAGAACGGATGGTTCTTTTGCCATTAGATATTTCGCGGGATTAAAATACAAAAAAATTTGTTCCTACCATTTTTTTTCTAGTGGCGCAAAGCTTTTCTGTTCTTTCTCCCTTTTTTTGTAGCTTTTTGAAAGCTTTGCAAAGCCATTAGCTAACTATAATTCTGCATTCAGGTCAGGAAAAACGTTGAGTTAGGATTGGCTGCATTAAGCGGTAAAAAGGGAGCAGCTTACGACCGCATCGTTCTAAACGCTGGAATGGTAGATCATCTGCTTGGATGTGAAGGAGCAGAGGATGTTCAGGCCGCCCTTCAAAGAGCCAGGGAAGCCATTGACAGTGGTGAAGCCCTCAATAGACTCAGGAACTTCATAAAAATTTCCCACAAAGTTAAATAACAATGGGACTGGTGTCTCTCTTTATCACAAAGTTAAATTAATAAAATAAAAGTAGGACAAGAAGTTACTAGATGTATAAAATAAAAAGAAGCAAGAAAGATTAGTTTTATGTAAATGCTAATTGATATTGTTGTAAAAAATTTGGAAGTTATTGTTAAGATTTTGAGATTGATTCTGTCTCTGTATCAAATTTAGGCTTTGGCATTGAATCTCTCTCTCTCTTTCTCTTGGTGTTTAGTGGAAATTTCAAAAGTACATGATTTTGAATTTATGCCTTTGTGAAGACTGAAATCCTCAACTATTAAAGCAAGAAGATGGCTATCTGTGTGCTTTGGCTTTTGCTTAAAATTTTGTCACCACATAATTTTAACCCTTGCCTCTCCTAGTTGAACTTGGCAAAAAGTAGGTTGATGGATAGTTTAGGTTTCGTTTGGGATGACTTTTTTTATTGCTTTTTAAAACAAATTTTTAGTATAAAAATCAAACTCTTGTACTAGAAAATTGCTTTAAAAAGTAGTAAAAAAATAGTTCCAAACGAAGCCTAAGTTTGTTGTCAGATGAGTGTATGGAAAACAGATTTGAGGTAAATTTACTGTTTTTTTGTTTGATTTGGTGATGCCATTGTAGGCTATTTATTGAGTTTTCTTAGACCAATTTTGAATTTCTATTCGTGAAAACCCTTCTCGTTGAACTTGGTAAATACGTGATTTAGTAGTTGATTGTTGGAAATGCTGGTGAGATAAATAAAATGATAATTTTTTTTTTATTGTTTGTTTTTATATGAAATGTCTTTTTTATGCAAGTTTAGTTTTTTATATTTTTTTCTCTAAACTCCTGCAATCTTTTTTTAAAGACAATTAGGCCAATTAAGATAAATTTACACATAAATCACATACGTAAAATTTCATGGTTGGTAGCAAAACATTTCAACGGATAGATCAACAATCTAGAATTATTATTTTTTTAAAGCAAATTTTTTTTTGTATAAAAATTTTTAAATTAGAAATTTTTATATTTAGACAATTATTTTGAGAAGCAGTAAGAAAAAGTTGTCTCAAATGAAGCCTAAGACTTCGTTTGGGATGACTTTTTTACTACTTCTTAAAACAACTTTCAAGTATAAAAATTTTGGGATTTTTTACCATATTTCATGACCAAGTTAGCCTAATCAAACCAATGGGGTGATCCATTAGATCTCTAGGGATGCCCCCTTGAGTCCCTAAGGCTTTGGGTCCATTTGGGTTAGTCATTTGGCTTGACACAAGTGTCTAAAGAGTATATCCTATGAACCAAATCTCAATCCTAGCCAAATTAAATCAAACCAATGATTGCATTTGGTCCCCTTTGACCCAATACACTTATTCTAATTGATCTAGTCCTTGGGTTAACTCATGTTGGGAATTGGGCCAACTCAAAGTGGTCAAAATCACTATAGGTTGAGCCATTTCTCAACTTAGGCCCCACCAACCCAATTCAATACTTGCATTGGGTGATCCTAGATCCAAAGCACTTACCATAGTCAGTCCAGCCCTTGGGTTGACTTCAATCAACCTCTAGGCTATCCCAAAGTGGTCAAAATTATTTTGACCCGAGCCAACATCCACTACAAACCAGACCATGCCCAATTGATGCCTGTATTGGATGCTCCTTAGCTTAACACACCTCCCCCATCAACCCCATGACTTGATTCGATATGTGTTGCACCCAAGTTGACCCAAATCATATAGATTTAGGTCAACACAAGCCTTCCCATTGATCTAGGCTTCCCCATGCACAATCGACCCTTCAGTCGAGCTCATGGAACATCCAGACATATTTTCGCCTTGACCCAACCCCTAGTCAGCGGCAGCGGCTAGAATGAATGAAAAATCGGTTCCGATGGTCCCCCCCCCCCCCCCCCCCCCCCCCCCATCCTCGAGCTCTGCCCAAAGGATTCCAGAACCTGGCTTCATTGAGCTTGAGCTCACGGGGAACTAGGACTATGTCCCCTCCCACCTGGAACCCATATAGCTATTCACAGGTGCCATCATAGCCATCCAAGGCCACGGGCAATGCTTGAATAGGGAAGCTTGATCCACCCTGCCTCATTCAATTTTAGCTCTTCAAAATCATTCACGAGAGCTCCCTAAGTCTTCCACTTTCAATCCTTAGCTTCCTAGCCTCTTCCAGCCATCCGTTCGTCCAAACTCTGGCGAAACGTCTCCTCCCTTAGCTCAAAGTCGTACTTCTGGTGATCCTCCAGCCGAGATGTCTGAAGGAGAACTTCTTTCCTTCATACCATGAAGCTTCTCAATAGAAAAACCCATCCGTTGGAGCTTCCACACACCCTTTTTTGAGCTCCTAGCTTGGTAGTGGTGGTCAAGTTTGAATCCAACTGTTGGCTTGATGGTTTATGTTGACCTGATCATTCCCATGAATTTTGGTTGAGTTTTGCTAGCGGGATCTCTTGGATCATGCCGGAAAATCCTTATAGTTTTGGGAACATGCGAAAGGTTGAAAATGTAATCCAAGCTGTTGATCCCAATCGACAACTTGAATTAGATCTCACTATTCCAAAGGTTGTTTAGTCATGTCCATTCAATTGATGATCCTACAGCTATGGTTAATTATGTGTTTACACAGTTAACGCCAATGATTGGTTGCTCAATCAGAGCGCGTCCACATGTAAAATGGCTGCTGACTGTGTAAATCTAATTTAATTAAATCCAAAAATAATGAAAACTTCAAAAATTCATATCTCCTAATATACTTGACCAATTTAAGTGTTCTTAGGTTCATTGGAAAGATCTCAGGGAGAACTTTAAAATCTATATGGTCTCAAGCTCTAATTCAGTATGAAACCTAGTTAATTTCAATAACTATCATAGAGATATTTAGGCATTTTTGTTAGGATTGAACTCCTCATAGCTTGAGATTTTGGAGGATAGAATTTGGGCATGTCTTCGATATGTCTAAATTTTATCCACTATGTTTGAATTGTTCAACAACATAATTTAGCCAATTTAAGATCAAGGGTCATGGTTTGGGCCTTGATTTTAAATTGCTCTAATGACCTTTCCAATAAGATTTAGAATTTGAGTTTTGGTGTGTTAATTTAGTATAGGGGGTTTAGAGCCACTGATTTCATCCCTTTTAATGCCTAAGATAGTAACTTAGAGTTTTCTAATGTAACCTAGTGGTTTCCTTTGGTGGTTTGGTTAACTACCCTAGTGGATTGAACTTTGGCCCAAATTTATTGTGCTTGGGCCTTGAGATTAGGTGATTTCATGGCCCATGTTTCATTGGAATTAGTGCCAATTTCGTCCACCAACTAGGAACCCTAAAATCCCCTCCTAGAATTGACCCATTATCCTAATTAATTCATATTAATCCTAAAATTCATATAAGGTCTCTAATTGCTCATAATTAAACTCTTAATCAATGACAAATAAAAACCCTATGATCAGATCTTTAATTTAAAATTAATTTAATTTTTAACAAAAATTAACAAATAATTATATTAATTAATTAAAAATATTTAAAAATTCCAAAAATAAATTTCTAAGAAACTTGGAAACATCCCCTTAGGTCATTTCTGATCTGTTGGAGGTGATTTTAAAAAGTTTAAGAATGATTTGTATCAAAATCTAAAATTCCCCTTAATTACACAATTTAAAAAAAATTCCAAAAATATCATAACTTTGAAAAATGATAAATAATTCTAAAAAATTCCAATTTAATCAAACTAAAATCCATTCAACTCCAATTAAAATCTAGTATTTTTTAAAAATATCAAAGCTCCAAAATTAAGGCAAAGTCAAAATGTTAACTGTTCTATCAACCGTAGTTTAAAATTAGGTCAAAACTTAAAAAAATCATAACTTAATGTAGAAATTTTAAATTGAGCGAACTTAGAGTCTAATTATTTATCTTAAGATTTATTATTTAGGAAAATATTAATATTTTAAAATTCAATTTAATTTTAAAAGTCAACTTTTGGACGCCTTAATTAATGCAATTAAATAATCCCAAATTTTCAAAAATTCAATAATTTACTTAAAATCCTTAAAAACTCTAATTTAATTATTTAAACCAGCAATCAACACATTTAATTAAATTTTATCAACCTTTAATACTCAACCAACTAAACCAACTTAATCAACCCCGGCTACTATTAGGTATATCGGGCCTACGAGGATATTAAATTAGCCTCAATGGCGGTGAAATAAACTTCACAACCTTAGTGAGCAGCAAAGATAGTAACAATTTAACCACTAAAATTTACTTAGATTAAGATTTAATATACTAATATTTAAATTTTAACATAAATTTTTCCTTTGACCTTTAACAAACTCGAATACTAGATAACTTCAACAAATTGCTCGGTTCAGGACATACCCCAGCCACACAGCCTACCTTACACACTTTAGATGATTTGCTAGGACAACCAACTCTAGTCTAGGCTTGGCCAATATTTACTTTTTTATGTGTGTATGGTAGGTTTTTCTGAGTTTGCATTGCATGTTATGATTTAAAATTGATTAATGTGAGTGTTTACTTACTTTAAATTGTAATATGTGAATTAATGTGATAGGCAATATAATATCCTTAGGTTAGGAATGATCTGATTGCTCATTGAGTTTTTATAGGTGGTTATGCACATAGAGATATAAATCAAGGGGTAAGTTAATGATTTAATTGACAAATTCTTATGTAGGTGCTAAAATGGCTCAAGCCCCACTTAAAATCAAAAGAGCATGGCCAAGTGTGGCTCAGTTTTTAATTAAATGCATATAGATAAACTGCTTGGGATTTACTTAATTTTAAATGCTTAGGATAACCCTACAAGTGAGTCTATTTTTTTTATTTTAATATTGATGTAATTTGTTTAAAGTTAACAGTTGTGAAAGTTATACATTTGAGTCGGGATACATAGATCCAAATGAAGATTCCAAAGAGGAAAGGACATCCCTCAATGGAGCATCCTTTTTCATTTAGAAGCCTAAATTTGGATCATTTCAGTACTCAAAGTGAAAAGAATAACATCCCCATCAAGGGAAGAGTTTTCTTTTTTATTTGGGTATCCATATACGATGAATCCAAGGAGTCCAAAGAAGAGGATGATGAGGAGTTGAAGACAAAGAGTATACCACTCAAAGTCAACTTATGTCAATCCTAGGATCAGAACCCGGATTTGTCGTCAGTGGTGCCCAGCTACTTTTAATTTATATAAAT